AAAGATTTTCTCCTATGTTTTCTTTTAGACGTGCTACAGTTTTAGCTCCTACATTTAGGTGCATAATCCATCTTGAATTGCATATGGTGTGAAGGAGTTCAGAGCGTGTCACTCCAAGATATGCTGCTTTGGCATATTGATTATTTTGAGTTAAAGGCACTTGAGAAACACTAGGTGTGAGAAGAGCACTCTGAGCCCCCTTTCCTTCCTGAAAGCAGGAGACAAAACTCCTGTGAAAGGTACCTGCCCTGTACCAGGAGGAAGGAAGACATCCTTATCACCAGAGACAGGGAATTTGGGGCCAAGAAATCTGTACAGACCTTGTTAAACTAACCCTTATCTTCCTAGTTACTTCTTTACCATTTACCATCCCAGGCCAAACTCCTTTGTCTTGTCAATTTTTCACAAATTTATTGTTTCTTTGTCTAAAAGGTATAAAGCTTCTTGCTCTGGTCACTTCTTCAGGTCTTCATTCTCTTGCTGCAGAATTCTTCTCTTCTCTCATGAACATGTAAAAAAATTAGTAAAATTTGTATGCTTTTCTGTTAATCTGTCTTAAGTCAGCTTAATTCTTAGGCCCAGCTGGAGACCCTGAGAGGGTAGAGGAGAATTTTTTTTTCCCCTATTGGTGCAAGCTAAGAGTCAAGTAATTTTTTTTCTTGCATATGGATGTCCAATTGTTCCAGAACTACTGGTTGAAAAGAACATCTTTTCCCCACTGAATTTCACTGAGAGTTCAAAGCAGCCTTTACTCTAGTATTAACTTTCCCCTACTACTAAAGTGTAAACCTTCTGGCTGATGGGAACATGAACTCTTCCCAGACCTGTATGAGTCTTGTTAACTGTCCAGACTATTGCTTTCCTGTGATTCTTTCCCTGGTCTTGTGGAGTTTCACCCAAAACATGTATAGACCAATATTCTGGAAATTCCTGCATGAAGAAAGCTGAGTCAATCTTAGGGCTCTGTCGTTTATTTCCCTTCTCTCGGGAATTACAGCCCTGTGCTGCCTGCACTGTCCAATGTCTGCAAGCACTTGTTTCATATGTTTTGTCCAGTTGTTTACAGCAGGAGAACAAATCCTGTAGCACTTAACTCTTCATGAACGTCATTTTATTTTTAAATAGTACAGTATACGGGTAATTCTCAAAGCTTACAGAAAGATTAGCAATCTTCTAGGTTTAACTTCTCTTTTTAATACTTTGCTGTACTTATTTCTTAAAATCTATGCGCTGATTATCATTCTTAGTTTTCCTATTTCTTCCTCAATTTTTCAGTGCATGAATTCTTTACAGAGGGCTGTCATATTCTTGCATGTTAACTTCAAGTATAAAACTGAGTTTCATTTACTCTTCACACAAAATGAATATTTTAAAACCAAACAAATACTAAATCTCATACTGGTGATTAGAAAGAAGAAATTCCAAAGAATTTTAAGAGTTTTCTAGTACCTAGAAAAGAAACGTATATGCCCTCTCTCTAAGCCTTTGACACAATAGGCTATCCTACAATAACCAAGAAAATACCTAAAGACAAGTCAAAAGCAACACTGGTTTCCCTGGACATTTGTTCAGGACCACCTTCCTGGACACTAACGGGACCCACTGCTCCCTGCTCTTGTTTCTCTGTCTCTCTGGCAGGGACTTCACGTCCCAAAAGGATTGGTAACCCATTTAAATTCCTTGCATTGGCCTAGGGTCCTTGCTGAGAGTCTAGGGGTAAGGGGGGCTTGGGGGGAATCTCAATCTCCTCTATTGGTACTCCTTTGATTATTGATATCACTTATAATTCTGGAAAAGAAATACTTCTCTCTCATTGGCCCTGAAGAACCTTCCTTACTTTGGCAAGCCTGCTAGTCTCATTACCAGAAAAGGGAGATTGAAACAGGAGAGCATTTCCTACAACTCAACACCAAAAATCAAAAGCTCAATTAAAAAATGGGCAAAGGACTTGAATAGACATTTCTCCAAAGAAGATACAAACGGCCAACAAGCATATGAAAAGATGTTCAATATGACTAATCATTAGAGAAATGCAAATCAAAACCACAATGAGATAATACTTCACAGCCATTAGGATGGCTACCATCAAAAAACAGAAAATAACTGTTGAGGATATAGAAAAATTGGAACTTTCGTGCACTACTGTTGATGGGAATGTACAATGGTGCAGCTGCTATGGAAAACCATCGGGAGGTTTCTCAAAAAATTAAAAATAAAATTTCCAAATGATGCAGCAATTCCACTTCCAAGTATATATCCCAAAGAATTATTCTTTATTATAAGAGTCATACAGCATCATTATTCACAAGAGCCAAAAGGCAGAAGCAACCCAAATGCCTATTGACGGATAGATAAACAAAATGTATTATATACATACAACAGAGTATTATTCAGCCTTAAAAAGAAATAAAATTCTGGTACATGCTATAACATGGATTATCCCTGAAGAGTTATGCTAAGTGAAATAAGCCAGTCACAATACGACAAATGCTGTATGACTCCACTTACGCAAAGTATTCAGAGTAGTCAAATTCATAGAAACAGAAGTAGAATGGTGGTTGTCAGGGATTGGAGAGAAGGGGAAATGGGAAGTTGTTGTTTAATGGTTATAAAGTTTCAGTTTTGCAATATGAAAATGGTCTGGAGATTGGCTGCACAACAATGTAAATATACTTAACAATACTGAACTGTACACTTAAAAATGGTTAAGATGGTAAATTTTATGTTGTATGTATTTTACCACAATAAAAAACATGAAAGCACCACAATTGGAGTCTTTGGTTAAGGTTTCCCTAATGTAAGCTACCCACCAGGGTATTTAAATAGCCCATTAGCTTACATGGATTGTTTGGCACCATGAACAACCTACACCAAAAGAGGGACTTAAAAGATCTGATTAATTCCAACCTTAAGCATTAAAAAAAAAGTTGTATTAGAACTTGGAAGGAAAATCTAAGAAGAGAAATGAGAAGCCATAAAAATAAGGTACTATAAAAATTCCATAAGTTGTAAAGAATTAACAACCTCCCCATATTTGTTATTTTTTTAACGCCATATGTTAGCCTACAGTGATTAGCAGTAAAAACTTTAAAAATCTAAAGAAAGGATTTAAAAAACATATGTTTTTATTTAATGTTTAGCAAGTATGTTGAAAAGATTATGTCCTTCCCCATGAACAATCTCGGAGAGAAAGGAAACTCCCCCTAAGGCACCGAGTAGATGGTTGCAACTTGGAACATAAACATAGACTAGATCCTTGAGACCTGCAGAAGGAAGACAGGAGTCCCTGAAGAGCGCACAGGGGTTAGGAGCAATCCTAGAGGCTTACTGACTGACATACTTTCATCTTCTTTAAAATTTAATCTGCAAATCTTTCACCAAAGCACTATCAACTATCTTCTCTCTCAGGGTTTTTTGGTATATGTTTCTGGTTGACATAATTAATAATTACGTCATAATTAGGACTTCTGTATCTAAGCTCTGTCAGGGAAGCCTCAGTGGGAATTTTTTGATCTCCACATCATGTTATTTCCAGCAAATACTAATATTTTGGAGCCACATTCATTCACAAGAGCTATAGGTCAACTAAATAAAAATGAAAATCTGTCCTTAAAATGAGAGTGCTTATGGTGATCCTAGCTGCTATGGGTGGCTCACCAAATACCCTTTTCTGAATGCACAGCAGTCATATTGCCAGAGGAATGGACGGAAAATTGAAAGACCATCTGAGTCCTATCGCTCAGTTTTGGGGTAGGCCAGTGATTTTAAAATAATATGGTAAGTTGCATATCTCTATTGCTTTAAAGTGACATCATACAGCCTATGAGATAATGTGCTGCATGACTATTTTCAAATGAAAATACTAAGTGCATACTTAATTGGGCCCTATTGCTAAAAAAATAATAACAGGAATACTAGTCTCTATATTGCTCTGGAAACAAGAAAAGCAACATAGAGTCAGAATCTTTGAAACATAAAATTATTACTACATTTATGCAAACACTCCTAAAAGTTGTTAACAGTAACATTAATTTACTTTTGTGAGTTAGGGAACTATACGGCTGGTCTACCTACTCTAATTTATGCCTATCCTTGAAAGTTAATAGAATTCCAATACGTAACAAGATCCTAAGACATGAATTAACTTGGGATTTCCCCCCTTAAGCATACAGTAACAATGCGGAAATGTTTTCATCTTCACAAGAATTTACCTAAATTTTTTGTCAACAAGTTTTGTGACAACTGAAATGTTATAATTATACGTATTAATTGAAAAATACTATCAGAAAAAGACAAGCTAAATATCTTTTCTTTTAAGTATAAAGAAACATACTTTTTTCTTTCCTTTGTCTAGAAGTCTGAAATACTCCAAGTTTCATAATTATACGATAGTTCCAAGAATGTCAGTAACCCAATGTGCACTCATTTATACAAAAATGCTTTTCTTCCACTGTTACCAGTTGAGTCACATTGTAGAAAGATCAAAGTGTACCTAACACTGAGAAACACTGCTTAAGATTCAGCTATGGCTGTAGATTGGAGCATCTTGTTAGTTTAAAAAGAATCACTTTTTTATTAAACCTATGCTTAGCAAGACCATATAGTGATCTGCTGCATATTAAACAGAACTGATAGATTAATTTACAATTGCAATATATTATAAGGTGACAATTCTCCAGTGACCCAACTCTTCTAATAAAGCCACTTCTCCCACAGCACAAGGAGACTACTGGAGATAAAGCATACTTACTAAAGGCCTTCTCTGTTACATTCAAAGGACCTAAAAACAGCTTAGCTTTGTCATCAACATCCAACAAGTAGACCAGGCACTTGGGTTTAGGCAAAGGTTTTGGGCAACTGCTTTCTGAGGCTCAAATGAGTTCAGGAAAAAAAACTGTGCAGTGGGTTGTGTGACCACCACAGAGCTCTGACACCCCTCAGAGAGGCTTCCCTATCACAAGAATTCACCACGCTCAGGGAAGAAATGATCCCTATATTACCTTCAACTGCTCGAGGGCAAAAGATGAACCATCTTGCTGTAAATTTTGAATAATCTGTTCCACAGTATTGGCCGAGAACCAACTATAAAAAAGGAAACACATGATTTCACCAATGTGCAAGCAATTTCTTCTTTCCAAGATAGCAATGAATCTAAACACAGGCTTCCCCTAAACCTCATTTCAATAATGAAAAATTTTCCAACCTATTTTACAGGATAAAGAAATAGAACACTGCTTCTCTGGGTAAGGGTTTGCAGTCTACCTTCACTAATGCAAAATAAAGCCTAAATTTTCTCTTTTACTTTCTCGCATCTATTATACATAAATAAATGATATCTTAACTGTGAAAAACTGATGCTTCTAAAATGTAGAGATAGTTGTCTTATTTTCCAATAGTTTTCCTCCTCTTGTGTCCCTTAAGCCAGTCTGTCAACTTCTCAAATCACTGCACAAAAGCTTTTGCTGATCAGCTTGTTAAGATCTTCAGAGAAGATGACTTTACAAAGATAAAAGATAGTTAATTCAATTGTTATTTTCTAGCCTCTCTTCTCCATTAAAAAAAAAAAGAAAAAAGATGTTTTGCACTAACATGAATCAGGATGATACACTACTTAAACACAATGGATTTATTTCCCCCTGAAAGAGTGGGCAAAAAGCTACTTTCAAACGTAAGTGAAAATAAAAGAACTATGCTACCTGATCTCAAAATTTGGCTCATTATCAAACACAATATAATTACAATGTTAGCAAATTCTATTTAATATAGTCTTTCCAAAGGAATAGATGTAATTGAGATCTCTCTTTAAGTACCTGTTTATTTTGTCCATGTGTTCCTCAAGTATAAAAGACTTGTCTTGATCAATCTTGGACTGTTTGAAAACAAAAATCTTTTAATTAATTTAAGGTAACTCAAATCTTCTAAAAATCCCTTAAAATTTCATATTTAATGATACACTTTGTGATAGATTATCACTTTCAGTCAAATTACATCTAACAGTCTCATAAATAACCACCACCGTATGTTCAAAATTCAGACAGTATGTATTATTCCAGACTAGCTCTTAAAAGTGTCAAAGGCAAAAGATGTTCTTGTATTTTTATGTATATATCATAATGCATTATCATTAAAGTGTGTCAATAAATGTAAGGATTATAAGGGACCAGAGAAATCATCTTGCCCAAATTTCCATCTGGTATAGAAATCCCTACCACGTCCCTGACATCCCTGCAGCACTGACCTCCAGGGAGAGAAACCAGCACTTCACAAAGGAACTCACAAGCGCTTGAGCAACTATAATTACGATTTTTAAAAAAAAATTCTGGACCGGGGCCAGCCCAGTGCCGCAGTGGTTGGATTCGCACGTTCCGCTTTGGCGGCCTGGGGTTTGCCAGTTCCGATCCTGGGCGCGGACCTACTCACCGCTCATCAAGCCATGTTGAGGCAGCATCCCACATAGAGGAACTAGAAGGACCTACAACCAGGATATGCAACTATGTACCGGGGCTTTGGGGAGAAAAAAGAAAAAGAGGAAGATTGGCAACAGATGTTGGTTCAGGGCCAACTTTCCTCAAAAAAAAAAAAACATTCTGGACCGAAAATCAGCCCTCTCATGTTTACGGTTCTAGTTAATTCCTTTTCCACCTTAATCTTTTCTCTCACGGTGCAGTTTTGTGTCCCTTCACGATCCAGGTCCTTCTTACGCACAAGTTCCAGTTCATCCAGGTCATTCTTACAGTGTGGAAACACATACCTTAACTACAGGTGTGGCTGAATCACAGCAAAGTACAACAGGGCTCCACAAACCCTCATTTGTTTTGGATACAATGCTTTTACTAACAGGACTAACTCTGGGTTAGTTTTGGGGCAATCCTATTATGCTGCAGATTTACACTCAGCAGTTAGAAATTTTTTTTTAACTGGTGCCACTGTAGGCTGCATTTCTCCCAACCTGTCCTTGTGAATTTAGTTCTTTGGACTGAAATCCAAGATTTTCACTTATCTCTATTGTGACACTGTGATTTAAAATAAGAAATATATATTTGGTCTTGGCTCATATATTTGGTCTTTCGTTCCTGGCTCACAGCTCCCAAAACCCTTGGAATTTCCTAAACAGAGCATCTTTTGTCATAATATTTGGCCTTTTGTCCTGAACCCCCGAAACAAAGGTGAAATGGGTGTCTTTTGTCGTTCATAACAAACTCCTTTCAACGACACCATTGTTTATATTAATGGTGTGACTTTTGGAAAGTCCCAAAGGATGGCAGCTGGTTGCCAGGGGAACCAACCATGTGATTAGAGGGTTGCAACCTTCAGTCCCATCCCCCACCATCAACCCATCCTCCACTTCCCCATCTCCCTCCCTCCACCTCCAGTGAGGGAAAAGAAGATGGAGATTGAGTTCAATCATCAATGGCCAATGATGTAATCAATCATGCCTATGACAAATCATGCCTACGCCTCCATAAAAACCCAAAAGGATGGGGTTTGGAGAGCTTCCGGGTTGGTGAACACATCCATATGCTGGGAGAGTGGTGCACCCCAACATCATGGGGACAGAAGCTCCTGTGCTTGAGACTCTTCTGGTCTTGTGGTCTTGAGACCTCACCCTATGTATCTCCTCATCAGGCTGTTCGTTCATATTCTTTATTGTATCCTTTATAATAAACCAATAAACGTTAAGTGTTCCCCTGACTTCTGTGAGCCATTCTAGCAAATTATCGAACCCAAGGAGGGGGTCATGAGAACCCCAATTTATAGCTAGTCAGTCAGAAGTACAGGTGACAACCTGGAACTTGTGATTGATGTCTGAAGTGGGGTCAGGTGGGACTGAGCCCTTAAGTTGTAGGATCGATCTGATGCTAACTCTAGGTAGATCGAGTCAGTATTGAAATGAATCTTAGGACACCCAGCTGGTGTTGCAGAGAATTGCTTGATGTGTGGAAAACCCAAGCATCTGGTGTGAGAAGTGGTAATAGTGTGAGAGTAAAGGAAAACACGAGTAAAGGAAAATACAAGGATTGCTTTCTCCAACCATCTATTAAATTTCACATTGTTACTATTAAACAGATCACTCTAAACTCGAAGGCTTTTTTTTTGTGAGGAAGATCTGCCCTGAGCTAACATCCATGCTAATCCTCCTCTTTTTGCTGAGGAAGACCGGCTCTGAGCTAACATCTATTGCCAATCCTCCTCCTTTTTTATTTCCCCAAAGCCCCAGTAGATAGTTGTATGCCATAGTTGCACATCCTTCTAGTCGCTGTATGTGGGATGCCGCCTCAGCATGGCTGGAGAAGCGGTGCGATGGTGTGCACCCGAGGTGGGAACCCGGGCCACCAGTAGCGGAGCGCGCGCACTTAACCGCCAAGCCACGGGGCGGCCCCCTAAACTCAAAGGTTTTTTGTTTTCATCCATATTCCTTTCCTAATTTATTTTCTTTGTTTCAAATCAACTTGATCAAAATGCTGTCAACATTCTCATCCAAATCACTGAGAAAAATACTGAGTAAGACAAAGCCAAGGTGACTTTACCTGCAGACTAACACTACACATTTAACAGAACTCTTTGGTAAGGACCTTCAACCTCCACACACTATAATCCAGCCCATATTTACCCAACTTGACACCATGAGAGACTGTCAAATGTTTTGATGAAATCCTCACATGCTCTGTATTCATATTTATTGCACTGAGCATTCAGGGGCCCTGTCAATCTGTACTCATGTTCCTCAGTTCTGGGTAATTTTTTTGTACTATTTCTCTAAATAGTCCCTCCCCGCTATCTTCTCTGTTATGAATTCCTAATCATTAGATATTGGACCTCCTAGAATAATACTTCTAATTTTCCTTCCTGTCCATTTTCCATCTTATTATCCTTTGTGTCCTCTTACAGTCTCCCCCAACCATCAATTTTAACCTAATCTGTTATGGGTTTTTTTTTCCCTTTTGCTATCATATTTTAAATTTCTTTTTGTTCTTTGACTACTTCTCTTTGTAACAGCTGTTCTTACTTCACAGACTAAATATTTTCCTCTGATCTGAAGGTTTTTTTCTTTTTTTTTAAAGTTTCCTTCTTCTCCCTGCATTGTCTGCTTCCTTCAAGTGCCTTTTTTGTTTTGGCCAATCACTATTTTTTTTATGCCTGGAAATTCTTCTTTTTCTGTGTGAAGCACTAAAATTAAGAAGCTTTGTGTGTAATGTCAATTGCAGTGCTAGGACTGTCAATGTCTGATGCATGATAAGATGATCAGGCAAGGACCTGGAAGTTTTATTAGAGGGGTCCTCCAATATCAATATCTACAGGTTTTTTCTTTCCTCCAATGTATTGCTTTGGAGGGGGATGGTGCAGTGGGCTGAATGTTTGCATCTCTCCCAAAATTCATGTTGAAACCCTAATCTCCAATGTGATGGTATTTGGTGGCGGGGCTTTTGGGGTGTAATTAGGTCAAGAGGGTGGAGCCTCATGATGGGATTAGTGCCCTTAGAAGAGACCTGAGAGAGTTCACTTTCTCTCTCTCTGCTGTGTGAGGATACAGCAAGAAGGCATCCATCTGCAAACCAAGAAGAGGGCCCTCACTAGGAACCTAATCAGCCAGCACCTTAATCTTGGACTTCTCAGCCTCCAGAACTGTCAGAAGTGTTTCTGTTGTTTAAATTACCCAGTCTATGGTATTTTTGTTATAGCTGCCCAAACTGACTAAGATAGACGGTATGTGATGGTTCAGGAAGCCAACTAGGGAGAGGCTAGAGGTCTTCCCATCGAGTATGTTCTGCTCTTTTCAGTAGAGCACCTCACCTACCCCTGCCCTCAACCAGGTAGGGGCTGATGGTCTCTCTAAGAAGTAAGTCTCTATTTTTCTGCCAGGCTATGAAAGGGTAGCTGCTCCTACAGGAGGAGGACTTTTGGAGGCCTAGCTGCTCCTGATAAAAATTTTCAGAGATCTTCCTGTTTTTCTGCCCTACTCCACACCCCAGTCTTCAGAGGGACCTGGTACCTTAAAAAGGGTCTACAGCAAGAACTGGCTTGCTTTTTATTGGCTACCCCCACTGAGTGTTCTCAGACCTCAAGTAGCTGCCCTCATCCTTCTGCTTTCAAAGTTCCAAAATATTGACATCTCACGTCTGCCACTGTCTCCTCTTTTGTTCTATTTGTCTTTGTGGACTCACGCCTTTTTTATTCCTTTATTAAAATTTTAGCGGGGCTTTAGGAGGGAGCATGTATTCAATCCATCATGTTTAACTAGAGATCATGTAGCATTTTTATAGATTCTTGGTTCTTAAAAGAAAATTTAAGTTAGGCAACGTAAGCAAGAATTAAAAGTAAACATTGCAATAAACTTTATTATTATATTTAGAGATATACCAGAGTTTCACTTTAGCAGCTGCACAAATAGCATCAACACTGAACCTCTATTACGGAAATGTCCTAATGTTGTAAAAAGCCTCGTAAAGGCCAATCACAAGGCTATGCACTGAAATTCACCAGCAGTGAGAAGACGAGCTGTGCCGGCGCACAGTAAAGAAGTCATCTTCTTAAACGGCTATCCTAACTACTATGAAACGGCTATCCTCCCCATCAAGCTTTAAAGTAAATAAATCCCAGTACATTTATTTACATCTACAAACTATAATATTCACCAACTGCTAATTTTTCAATCATTTCCACTTTCCCATGAATTAAAATCTGAGGTTAGAACACCGACAAGATTACCTTTGTATGGTAAGTTTCTAAGACATCTGCAATATTTTCACTTGAAGGAGACTTCAGGGCTAATAAATCTTCTTCTAACATGCCCAACTAAAGGGGAAACAAAAAAGGAAAACAGATTTTTAGAAACACAGAAATTTTTTTTTAGAAATCTTATATTCTTTTTCAAAATCTCTGTCTTAAAATTATCATGCTCTCTCTTCAGCTGAGTCAGTGAAGGAAATTTTCACTGAAGTTGAATGCACATACAATCCCAAACAGCAAATGTTGCCTTGCAAGGAATGAATAAAGATAGAAGAAACTAAACGGGAGAAGTAGAGACATTCATTCTTTGTTTCCCTCTGGCTATTGAGCACTTGAAATGTACTACAACCAAAGATCTGAATTATAAATTTTATTTTAATTAACTAAAATTGACACATGTGATAATGGCTATTATAGTCAATGCACAGCTCTATAATATAGCCACACTTAACTGTCCACCTATGTCCTTCACATAACTATCTTATGCTCAGCTAAATGGGACTTCGTGTTTTTGGTGAGGAAGATTGGCCCTGAACTAACATTCTATTGCCAATCTTCCTCTTTCTTGCTTGAGGAAGACTGCTGCTGAGCTAACATCTGTGCCAATCTTCCTCTATTTTGTATGGGAGTCACTGGCAACAGCATGGCATGATGAGCGGTGTGTAGGTCCGCGCTCGGGATGTGAACCTGCGAACCCTGGGCCACCAAAGTGGAGCGCGCAAACTTAACCACTACACCACCAGGCCGGCTCCGAAATGGGACATTTTTACTATTTCCAAAACATAGCTAATGCTTTCCTGCCCCTGTGGGCTTGCTCATCAAATGTTTCCTCTATCCAGAATGCCTTTTCTTGACAATCCTCATCTTAAGGCCCAGCTGAACTGCAATCTCTATGAGAAAACTTCCAGTCCTTTCTTACAAGTACGCTCTGCCTCCTTTCAATCCATTGAGTACTTTCTTTGTATCTTGTTTGTACACTTATCATACTTTACTCTGTCAGATGAGACACATGGTTATTTATTCTGTACTCATCTCTAGCCCCATCCCCAATGAGTATTACTCCTTTCTGTTATCCCTATATAGGCCCTGTGAATGGCAGGCTACGCACTGCAGATATTATTACTGGGCAAGCTGACAAAGAAGGGAGAAGAGTGTGGATCAGCTCTCTCTCCCATCCTTAACTAAATTCCACTATAATCAAGGGTGTACCTCCAGAGCAGACAATGGAGTGCCCAGGTCTGCTTCCTGTTACAGCTCAAGGGAAGGATGAGACAGCCACCTACTTAGTGTGACTGAAGATGCCCATAATGCAGAGAAAGATTTGAAACTTTAAGCAAATGTGATGGAAAGCCCTCATAACAGTGTAGAGGAGACAAACTTCATTCATTTTTATAACATTCCTTCTCCTTATCCCCAAACACTCCTCCCTCAAGATCGGATATTCATTTGGAGATCCATGTGCTTCCTGGGAAGCTGATTTCACCCCACAGTTCCATGGATGGAGCACATTAGCTAGGACAGGCTAGTTGGTGTACTCCACCCACTCACGTGGTTCAGGGGAGATGTAAGCCAGTCCAATCAGAGTGAGCTAAGCCAGATGAAGGAGAATAAACCCCAAACCTCTTGCTGGGAATTCTGAGGCAAAACTACCTTGAATTAGGTTTTCTATTACATTTAACACAAGGAGTTTCAACTACTATGGTAAATCTGCTGTGCCATTTTGGAGATAGGAAAACTGGGGGCAAAAGAGGCTAAATTCAAGATAGGATTTAAACCTAGGCTGGCTGGCTGCATATTCTTTGCCATCACGCTACCCTGTGCTAAGAAAATTGACCATACTATTAAAAAGAAAAAAAAAAGACAAAGATAAGTAACATGTATCCCTTACAACAGATATCCTTATGAAAAGTTTTTAAGACCATATGTTACAAATGCAACTTTTAAATGCACTAGGGAAACTCACAACCAAGAGAACCTTTAAAAAATGTCTTTATAGGGGCCGGCCCAGTGGTGCAAGCAGTTAAGCGCACGTGCTCCGCTGCGGCGGCCTGGGGTTTGCCGGTTCAGATCCCAGGCGCGCACCAACGCGCCACTTGTCAAGCCATGTTGTGGCGGCGTCCCATATAAAGTGGAGGAAGATGGGCACAGATGTTAGCCCAGGGCCAGTCTTCCTCAGCAAAAAGAGGAGGATTGGCAGATGTTAGCTCAGGGCCGATCTTCCTCACACACACACACACACACACAAAAAATGTCTTTATAGGGCCCAGCCCTGCCCAGCCCCGTGGCATAGTGGTTACGTTCAGTAGGCTCCGCTTCAGTGGCCCAGGTCTTCAGTGGCCCAGGTTCTTGGGTTCAGATCCCGGGCACGGACCGGGCACGGACCTATACTACACTCATCAGCCATGCTGAGGCAGTGACCCACACACAAAATAGAGGAAGACTGGCATAGATCTTAGCTCAGGGCTAATCTTCCTCAAGCAAAAAAGGAGGAAAACTGGCAACAAATGTTAGCTCTGGACAAATCTTCCTCACCAGAAACAAAGGAAAAAAAAGTTTATAAAACGAAAACCTATCTTTTTATATATAAATTTAGATTTTTATATATTAGACTTTCTTAAAGTAGGTATTTTTTTTTTAAATAGACTGTAATTATTCATTTACTGAAGGTGCCCAGCAAAATAGCCCTGAATCCAGATACAATCATCTCCATTTTGTATATGAGGACTGGAGAGTTTAAGCACCATCCCCAAGGTCACACAGCTTTAAGCAGTAGATCCAGGATTCACACTCACGTCTACCCAAAGCCTGTGATCTCAACCACTCACAGGCCTCCCTGTGCAATATGTTATTCCAACAACACAAAATGCAATCATCCAAGTAATTACCTTTTCAGAATCTACAAAGTGCGTAGCAATTCCTGCTGTGTACACATCTCTTCCTTTCAGCCTGAATCCTGTTAATGCAAGGAAGTAACCAAGTTTTCCTTGAAGTCGTGGCAAGAAATAACCTCCACCCACATCAGGGAATAGTCCTGTAATTGAATAACAAAAAGAGATAACAATGATTCAAATAAAAGAGATGAATGTAATTCTCTTTACTTTAGATCAGATAGCTATTTCTCTCTGGAGTTTGAATCTCTATTGAAATATTATTAAACTAAGTACTATACAATGCAATCGATATCACAAAAGATTTGCCATAAATTATGCTAACTTAATTTGGGTACTTTTCAAAATTTTCATGTCTCATTTCTATAGAAGTCATTTTAAAGTATTTGATGGCATAATGTATATAAAAAGTACTCAATAAATATTACCTAAATTTTCTCACCACTAATTTACTTTTTAAGAATCTCTGAAATAGGCAAATCTGGAAAAAATATTTTCTTTCCAAATGATAAGCATAGGAAAAAATATAATCTAAGACTATTAGGTGAAAATTGATTATTATTTAAAGCATTTTCCAAATAGAAAATTATCTAATATTCACGATATTTAAAGTGATGCAATAAGCATTAGTCCTACTAAATGAACAAGTTTATACCTTATAAAATCACTTGCTTGCATTTACTTTTTTCTTAACCACCAGTATTTTTTAAATTCTCTTATTATCTCTACAGGTAACAACTGAAAATAGCACATATGCAAATACTTGCCAGTACACTACTTTCTGGTATTTAAGAGCTCCTTAAACAATTGAGACCCTCTAGTTTTATAATCCATAGCTATTCTAAGACTGCTTCATTTAATGAAGTTGAGATAAAAACACAAGAATTCAAATTCTTTCCAGTTCTACTTTTAGAATCAAAAGAATTAGCAGCATGCTATTATAAATAGAAATATCTCTTAGCAACTCAAACAAGATAGGTCTAAAGTTGAATTCATGACCTCCCCCAACTGCCATCATCCCCCTCTAATGTCACCCACCCCAATAAATGGTACAACCATCCAGCCTCGACACCTTCTCTCGTACCATCCCCTTAACCCCCATCAGTGACTACATCCTGTTGATTCCTCCTCCAAACGGTTCTCCATACAGCAGCCAGAGTGATCTTTTTATTAATACAAACTTCAATCAGAGTCTTGCATTCTACTGCTTAAAACTCTTCCAAGACTCCCCATATTTTTTACATTACAACCAATACCTTTATCAAAGTCTTCAAAGTGCCCAACCATCCCCAACATTCTACATGCCTACCTGCCCCAGAACCTCAGCAGCACTCTGCCGAAGTGACAACACCCTCTATCCTGAAACACTCATCTTTCCCAGGGCACCACATTCGCTCTTTCTGCCCCCTGCCTCAATGGCTGCTTCCTACCAGTCCCCCTTGCTGGCTTCACTTCCTTTGCTTGACCTCTACATGCTGCTGTGCCTGGACCTGATCTTAGGCTATTTCCTCCTCCCCCCACACACACATTTCCTTAGCTCTTATGGCTTTAGATAACTTCTATATACTGATTAGTCTCTGTTTTGGACTGAACTGTGTCCCCCAAAATTCTTAAGCTGAAGTGCTAACCCACAATGTGACAACTTGGAGATAAGGCCTCTGAAGAGGTAATTAAGGTTAAATGAGGTTATAAGAGCAGGGGCCTAATTCAATATGACTGGTGTCCTTATAGGAAGAGGAAGAGACACCAGCCGCACACACACACACAAGAAAGGCCATGTGAGGACAGAGCGAGAAGGCAGCTGTCTACAAGACAAGGAGGGAGGCCTCAGGTGAAACCAAACCTGCCAATACCTTGGTCGTCAGCTTTCAGCCTCCAGAACTGTGAGAAATAAATGTTGGTTAAGCCACCCAGTCTGTGGTATTTTGTTATGGCAGCCCTAACAGACTAATACACTCCCAAATCTAAATAACTAGTTATGCCTTTTCCCTTGAATACCCAACTCTTAGATCTGCATTCTAAACATAACCACATGGATAATAAGCAAGTCAGATATAACACGGCAAAAACATAACTCTTGATTCCCATTCCTCCAACTACACTGCTCCTTCCCTAATTGGTCTCATCCATCTAGTAACACAAGCTAAACATCTTAGAATCATTCCTGATTAATCACATCTGCAAGCCTGTGAACTCCAAAACATTTTTCAAAACTATGTACTCTATTGCAACTCTATACCTCCACACTACTCCATGGCAAAATCCTCTCTTCTCTAGACTTGTGCTATCCAATAGAATTTTCTGTGATGATGAAAATGTTCTATAATCTATGCTGTCCAATAAGGAAACCACTAGCCATATGTGGCTATTAAACACTTGAAATGTGGCTGGTGCGACTGAGAAACTGAATTTATTTTATTTAAATTTATTTAATATTTAAATAGCCAGCTGTGGCTAATGGCTACGTATTAGACGGCATAGCTCCACATTAATGTAATGACCTTCTAACAAGTCTCCCTGCTACAACTCTTATACCCCCCCCATCCATTTTTCTTAAAGCAGGTAGAATGATGATATTAAAATATAAGCCAGATCATGCCACTACCTGCTTTAAACTCCCCTACACTTTCCCATCATATTTAGGTTTAAATCCAAGCTCTTCACCAAAGGCCCCCGTGTACCTCTTCAAGAACCCCCATGCACCTCTTCAAGAGCATAGTGTATCACTCCTGCCCTTGATTCAGACACTTATCTCTACTTGGTTCCTTGAATAAGTGAAGTTCATTGTTACTTTAGGGTCTTTGGACTAACTTTTCTTAATGCCACAGTATTCTGCTTTAAGATATTAATAAAACTACTCCTCCTTGTCATTCAAATCTCAGCTTAAAGGACACCTCCTTGGAGAGCCTCTTTAACTATCTAATCTAAAGTAGCCAACCAGGAGACTTATGCTTTGGACAAGATGGAGTAATAGGACCAGATTTACCCTCCTACCTGAAACAAGTATAAAAACAGATTCAATATACAAAATAACAGTTTTCAATATACTGGACCATCAGGCAATAGAGGAAAATGATCTCTGAATACCTGAAAACAAGTGAGGTAAACCCTACAAGAGCTCCAGCTTAATGCCTTGAGAGAATTTCTGGGCCCCGCATAGTCCTTGATTTGAGGGAATGAAGCTAAGAGTCCAGGGAGACCAGGGCAGCTAGAATTCTCAGAACAGAGTACCACAGAGGACAGAGCTGCACAGAGAGAAAAGTGGAGATCTGCAGAGGGTCTCTTATAAGTATTCAGCTTGGTATTGATCAATACATGTATACGAAGAAACTACCTGGGGCTAGGGAAAGAACCACAGGAAAGGATTACAGAGAACAGTACTGGGACCCCACACAGGGCTGCAAGTAGTGTCTGTTCCCACAAGTCAGACTAGGAAAACTCATGATTCATGGAGTAGAATACAAAGAAGGGCCTCACTTCAGTAGTAAAAAATAATTAGTCCTAGCCTGAGCACTGCTCCAATCCTGCATTTAAAAAAAAAATTTAAAAGACTTGAAAGGATCAAACTGTTTCCAAGTAACTTGACTTCATCCCAGAAGCAAGCTCAAGAATATTTATAAGAATACAAAAATATAAAGCATCCAACAAGGTAAAGTTTACAACTTCTAGAAGTCAATCAACAATTACCAGGCATCTAAAAAAGCAGGAAAATATTACCCATAATGAGGTGATAAAACAATCAATCAAAATTGACCCAGAACTAACACAAACATAAGAATTAGTAAACAAGGACATTAACACAGTCATAAGAAACATATCTTATATGTTCAAAAAGGAAAGCAGAAACACAGATGATGTGGAAGATCAAAATTGGCCACCCTGAAATATGTCTCTTTACCTTGGCTATTTGACCTCCCCCAAACCGCCTAAACAATTTAACATAGAAGGCCTGTTTCAGGAAGGAGCCATGACCATATGATGGCTGTAATATAATGTAAAATAGATGTTACAATAGGAAATGCACCAAGCCTCTCTTATCAAAAATTCTGTCTCTCCCAGGTCACATTCTCTAGGTGGCCCTGAAAAGAGTTGCCAGACAAACATTTACATTTATAAGGGAAATCTCCATTTGTAAAGGTATCTCCCTCCCTCTCTGTACTGGGAAGAGGGGGGATGACCTCATCTCTAGAAACTTATCAGTGCAGAAGGTGAGGCATTAAGTCTGCATAATAACCTTACTCTTGTTTACTGTGCTTTTCTGGTAATCTCCCATAACTGACTCCCCCCACTCCCAAAAACCTCCTTTGTCTTTAGCTGAAGATGATGTTTAAGGTGGTGGCTTTGGCCATTTTGTGAAGAAACTCAGTTTCCCTGGTTTCTCCCATGTATACATGTTATTAAATTTTATTTGATTTTCTCCCGCTAACCTGTCTTTTAATTATTTGGCCAGCCATAAGAACTTTAAGGGAAAGGGTGGAGGGAATGGGTCCTCTCTCTTCCCCAACAATGATTTTAAAGATTTTTATTTATTCATTTTTCTCCCCCCAAAGCCCCAGTAGATAGTTGTACGTCATAGGTTCACATCCTTCTAGTTGCTGTACGTGGGACTCGGCCTCGCGTTGGACGGAGAAGTGGTGCCTCGGGGCGCGCCCGGGATCCGAACCCGGGCTGCCAGCATCAGAGCGCGCGCACTTAACCGCTAAGCCACGGAGCCGGCCCCCCAACAATGATTTTTAAAAAAAGATCCAAATGATACTTTTGTACATGAAAACTAAGATGAATGTATAAACTGAAAAATATCTGAATGGGATTAAGGGCAGATTAGACTTTACAAAAGAAAAGATTAGTGACCTTGAAGACACAGGAATAGAAACTATCTAAAATGAAAAAAAGAAAATTCTAAAAAATGAACAATGCATGAGTGAGCCTAATATAAGTTTAAACAGAGTTCCTGAAAAGGGAGTAGGGGGACAGGAAAATATTTGAAGAAATAATGTCAAATTAAACCTAAGCTCAATAAACACAAGCATAAGAAACATGAAGAAAACTACACCAAGGCACATCACAATCATATGGCCCAAAACAAGTGATCAGTAGAAAATCTTAAGAGCAGTCAGAGAAAATAAAAAGACACTTACAGAGGAACAAAGAAAAGGAAAGATGAGAGATTTCTCATGAGAAACAATGTAAACGAGAAGACAGTATAGCAACATCTTTAAAGTACTGAAATTTTAAAAATCAGAATAGAATAGAATCCTATACCCAAGTGTTAAATCACTGACCTCAGCTTTCACCTTAGGAGACTAGAGAAAGAGGAGATAAAACCTAAGTAGAAGAAAGGAAGTAATAAAGATCAGGGCAGAAATCAATAAAATAGAAAATAAATGAAACCAAAAAACTGTTTTTTGAGATCAATAAAATCAATAAGCTTCTAATTAGACTGATCCGGAAAAAAGAGAGAAGACACAAATTATTAATATCAAGAATGAGAGAGCCTGATATCACTACAGATTCTAGAGATACTAAAATAAGGGAAAATTATGAACTTTATGATAATAAATTGAAAAATTCCTTAAAAGACCCAAGCTACCAAGGTTGTACAAGAAAAAACAGATTACTTGTTGTGAAGAAGAAACAGATAACTTGAACAGCCCTACATCTGTTAAAGACTTTGAATTTGTAGTTAAAAACCTTTCCACAAAGAAAACTCCAAGCCCAAATGGCTTCACTGGTGAATTCTACCAAACATAGAAAAAAAAAAAAAATACCAATTCTACACAAACTCTTCCAGAAAATGAAGCCAGCGTTACCCTGATACCAAAATGAAGTAAGGAGTGGCATTGCTGGTATAGTGGTGAGCACAGCTGCCTTCCAAAATGAAGTAAGGATGTTACAAGAAAACCACAAACCAACATCCCTCATGAACACAGATACAAAAGTGCCAAATAAAATTTTAGTATACCAAACCCAATAATATATAAAAAGTATAACACATCATACCAGAGTGAGATTTATCCTAGCAATGCTGGGTTAGTTTATGTTGAAAAACCAATCAAAGTAATTCACCATTAACAAACTAAAAAAGAAAAGGCAATGATCATCTCAATAGATGCAGAAAAAAATTTGACAAAATTCAAAATCCATTCCTAACAAAAACCCTCAGCAATCTAGGAAGAGAAAAAACCTTCCTCATTCTGATAAAGGACACCTATAAAAATACTACACATAACATTGTACTTAACCGGTGAAGGACTGAATGTTTTCCTCTAAAATTAAGAACAAGGCAAGAATGTCTACTCTCAACATTTCTATTCAACATTGTATTGGAAGTTCCACCCAGTGCAAAAAGGCAAGAAAAAGAAAAAAAAAGGATCCAGATTGGAAAGGAAAAAGTAAAACTGACTTTATTTGCAAATGACATAATTACCTATTTAGAAAATCCAACGCAATCTACAAAAAAAAAATCTACAAGAACTAGTAAATTTAGCGAGTTTGCAGGATACAAAGTCAATACAGAAATCGGCTGTATTTCTATATACTGATGTAGTGTAAGGCCTGACTGACAGTTGGCTTTTCTTTTTGTAATGCAAGTGCGTGCATGACTTAAGCTTTGATTATGGAGGCATCCAATTCAAAGAGGCATCCACTTCAAAGAGGGCTATCTCAAGCACATTGCCAGCCACAGGACTAGATAAAGGGCCAGCCAGTCTCCCCCAGCTGAGGCTCCTTTGTCATAGAGATCTTGGTTGATTTCAGTAACTGACCATTTGGGCTACTTTTTTTTCCTCTTCTCCATGCTTTAAATTCCTGCTCTTATGTTTTAAATTCACCAATAAAGAGTGAGCCTGTGCCTATGTGTTTGTTTATTGTTGTTATTATCTACTACTTAATGAAGGAAATCGTACGGTATTTGACCTTCTCCCTCTGACTTATTTCACTTTGCATTATACCCTCAATGTCCATCCACGTTGTCACAAATGGCTGGATTTCATCGTTTCTTATGGCTGAGTAGTATTCCATTGTGTATATATACCACAGCTTCTTTATCCATTCGTCCCTTGATGGGCACTTAGGTTGCTTCCAAGTCTTGGCTATTGTGAATAAGGCTGCAATGAACACAGGGGTGCATGTACCTTTGCAAATTGGTGTTTTAATTGGTGGTTACCAGAGGGGAAGGGGGGAGGGAGGAGGGTGAAAGGGATAATTCGGTAAATGTGTGTGGTGATGGGTTGTAATTAGTATTTTGGTGGTGAACATGATGTAATCTATGCAGAAATAGAAGTACAATGATGTACACCTGAAATTTTTACAATGTTATAAACCAATGTTACTGCAATAAACAAAAAATTAAAAAAAAAAAAAAAAGAGTGAGCCTGTGAAACTCTAGACTCCCACTCTCTGACCCCAATAAAAGTAGAACCCCAGGCCCATGCTCAACTGCACTCTCTCTACCCATGACCCCACTGTGTGGCTTATATGCTCCAGGGCTTGTAAGCAATAAACTCTTTTTTTTCTTCAAAGTTTCCTAATGGCTATTGCTGAAGGGCCTCTTGCAATCATAACATAAGAACTAAAAAGGTAAGTCCAGTTGTAACGTTGGTTTAGAAAGGGAAGATGTCTGTGGGAAGCTCACAGGGGCCCAGGTGAGTGTCCCCAGGCATCTCTAGCCAATAGCATTACTATCAATAGGCTAAAACCGGCACAAAACAACTGGTAACTAAAAATCAGAACTGAATTTTTTTTAAATATCATTTACAATAGCATCGAATAATATGAAATACTTAAGGATAAATCTGACAAAGGATGTGCAAGACCTATACCCTGAAAACTATAAAAGTTGGCTTAAAGAAATTAAAGACCTAAATAAATGGAGCGACATAACTTGCTCACAGGTCTGAAGACTCAATATTGTTAAGATGTCAATTCTCCCTAAATTGATAGATTCTCGTCAATCCAAATCAAGATCCTAGCAGGCATTTTTATTGAAATTGACAAACTCTCTCTAAAATTTATATAGAAATACAAAAGATCTGTATAGCCAAGACAACTTGGGGGAAAAAAAGATCAAAATTGGAAGATTATCACTACTTCATTTCAAGACTTACTATAAAGCAACAGTAATCAACACAGTGTAGTGTTGGCAGCAAGATCAACACACATAGACAAAGACGCAAAGGCAATCAATGGAGAAACAATAGCTTTTGCAAAAAATGGTGTGGAAACAATTGTATCTCCATATGCAAAATTAATAAACTTTGATCTATACCTTTGATCCATACCTCACACCACAAAAATTAATTCAAAATGATCATAGATCTGAACACAAGCATATTTCCCCCTAATACCCTTTTATCTAAAATTAACTATAGTGTGTCTCCAGTTAAATATTCTTGCTTTTGAGTTTTAAGATACAATTATTGAGCTAATATAAACTTCTAGATATCATCCTATTCTAATTTCTTTTTAAAACAAATTTCACTGCTGTAACACACAAGATTCTATCAATTCCAACAACAGTGTAATCTGAAATGTATCAAAAGATGATTCTTCAAAGTAATTATGAAAAATTTTGGGTTTTTTACCTATTGCTGTTTCTGGCATTGCAAAAAGAGACTTTTCAGTGGCCACTCGGAATTGCCCATGAACTGAGACACCAACTCCCTAGAGAAATAAGGCAAAAACGTGTTTAAAATTACTGTAAAAAAATAAAATTATACACTCGCAAACATTATAAACCAAGTAAATTATTTTTATATTCCACAGGAATTTATTTCAGGAGACAGATTGGAGGGAAATGCTAAACCACACAATTTCAGAATTTACTGGGCAAAAAACATATGGGTATCTCCGAGATCGGGAATAGATGTGTTTTAGCTAAGACGTTTTCATTCAGTGTTCTGTGTTATGCTTCATGTCCTCTTCCCCAATTCCTTCTCATTCCAAACTAGCTGCAGCATAACAAAATACTGACTCTTCCCAGAACCACTGAGTGTTGTTCTTAGGGGCATCAATCATCAAGAAAGCACAACCAAGCTATTCTAGCAAATTTTGGTAGCTTTAAATAGAATTTTAACGCATTTTATTTATTCATATATTTCATCAAATAAAATTAGCAACATCATTTTTCTCAGATACATTTAATGGGGCCAACTAGATAACTCTTAAAAAAACTGGTTACTAAACACAAGTTTTAGAAATAACAAGTATTACCTATAATAATTTTTATTTTCTAAAAATAAAAAGATTTGGCTGAAAGCCTCTCTCTCTGACTTGTTGAATGTCATTGAAAAGGGCAAACTTAACAGTGATCTTTGAATAAACATATTTGAACAAACAGACATATTTGAATAAAATGAAATAAGAGGTATCCATGTGACGACAAAGTATCCAAGTTTAGGTCAGTGCTCACATTATAACATATATTTCCTATGATATATTCTTTTCACATTACTCAGAACTTCTATTAGACTGTTTAAGTTCTTCTCATTCTTAATCCTTTTTAACCAGTGTTCTCTCTTTGACATCACAGAGTTAAAAGAGTTAAAATATAAGTATTTGGAACAACGTTAGGCACTTAATAAGAGTTCTATGAGTGTTAGCTAGATGGAAAGAGCCTCATTTCTATTTGATTCTAATTTTTCATTACAATTTCCTCAAATCTTTAAGTGTTTTCACACTCAGTTCAGCCATTTAAAAGTTCCTGAAACTTTGAAAGCTTCTAAGAAAATACTCAAAAACACATGCAATTTCTTATAAATTTTATGTACTGTATGCTAAGCTTAAATTTTAAAAGACCGTGGAAATAAACATGGAAATGAATAAAATTCTTCAGTCACTACCTACATCCTTTGGTGTCAACGTTTATAAGCTAAATCCACAATGTCTGACACTCTGTACCGGCAATATCATCTTGCTATAGGTATTCTACTAGGACACAGTCAACTGATAATATTAACCCAAATTAGATCATATATACTTCAAGATTATATGAAATCTTACAAATTTTAATAAAAATAAAACATAAGTAATTTATTAATAATTTCTTATATTATTTTAAGAACCCTTGCCTCACATTCTATTCTCCACTTTTAGTTTCTCACGTTGGAGCTCAAAGTTATTAGTCTTCAAGAATGTCTTGCTAAGAGAGAGTTGGACTGGATTCTCAGTTTTCACACTATGTTCTTTTGAGTCCTAGGGCTCAGAAGAGCTGCCTCCATTTGGGGCTGCACAGCAGGTAAGATATCCAGGCCTCACTGACTGACCCTGACATTTGTTGTTGTTAGTACCATCAAGCTGATTCCAACTCCTTGCAACCCTGTGTACCTGAACCAGAACCCTGCCCGGTCTTTTTGCACCATCCTTTCACCTTCTGGTGCTATATCAGCCATATGCTCCGCTGCTCTTCACAGGGTTTTTGTGGCCAGTTTTTTCAGAAGTGAGTGGCCAGATCATTCCTCCTAGTCTGTCTAGTCTGGAAGTTCTGCTGAAACCTGTCCACCATGGGTGACCCTGCCGGTATTTGACATACTGGTGGTACAGCTTTCAGCATCACAGCAACACACAGCTGCTACAGTGTGACAACCCACAGACAAGTGGTGTGGTTCCCTGACCAGGAAACGAACCCAGGCTGCGGTGGTGAGAGCGCTGAATCTTAACCACTAGACCACAAGGGCTGGCTCCCTCAACCATACTCCTCTGGTTATTGCCCCCTACCTCTTTTAATTAGCTATGAATTCCACAATCAGCACTTGGCTATATTCCCCTTTATTAAATATTTACATATAAAAGGTAAAGTCTGACCACAACCACCCAATCCTAGTCTCACCTCTCTCCCCCGAGAGACACACGGCTATTATGAATTTAGTATGTAACCTTTCAGATTTTTTTCCGTATGTATCTGTAATATGTATTTGAACAAATGTAGATATTTATCTGCGATACACACACACTTCAAACTCTATTCCATGGCCTGCAAGGTCCTACCTAACATGGCCCAGTCTACCTCTCTGACTTCACCTCCCACCACTCTTCCCATGCTCATTCTTCTAGCCACAGGACCTTTGTGCCGTTCCTCCAAAATTCCAAGCCTTTACAATTTCAATTAATCATATAATTTTAAAGTGAGGAAGACAGAATAGAGAAAGCCACTGCCTGTCCCATCACCGCCCTTTATGAGAATCTGTTCCGCCCAGAGACTTCGCCCTTCCCCCAGCAGTGGCTGAACCAAGGATGGGCACCAGACCCAAAGGCAGACAGTTGAGGCTAACCAGAAATCTAAGGCCCAGGGAGCAAAGGGGAAAGAAAAGCACATTAGACAAGATTCTCACTATTAGGTATTTAAAATAAAACACAGTGGCCAGCTGTGAGACAGCCAAAGAAGCTTAAATGTGAAATTTGAGCAGAAGACCTAACAGCCAAGAGAAAGCTGAAATTATATGAGGTAACAACCAAAAAACTGAGAAGGCTGCATGCAGCCTGTACAACACAGAGAACAGAGCAAACATACAAAAAAAAAGCAGAGATTGAGAGGCAGAACAACAAATACGCTAATTAAATTTGCCTTAAGCGCACACTTTCAGGCCAATTTTCAGGAAAACAAGCGATGCTGTGGTTTTGTCTTTGGATTCCCATTTGATGCCCGCACTTGTTTAATAACTGCTCCATTTTCTTTTCTGGATCTGTAGGAGTAAGTCTCTGTTCTTTTCAATTAAAAGGTAAGTCTCTTCACCACATTTTCAATTAGAACCAGATCTGTATCCTGTCATACTTCAGCATCACACAATATGAGCCACTTTAGTCCTTTGGCCTCTAGTACATATTCATCCCAACACTGCTCTGTGCTTTTTTTTCCCTAATACTGCTCTCCCTGACTAGCTATTCCCATTTTACTTTCTGGAACCCTCATTTCTTTGCAAAAAAAACCACCAAACAGCCCAACTTCTCTACAGAGGGCCCTCTCTACCTCCTGAACTCAATGGAAAAAGAAATTTATAAGCCCCATATTCTTTCATGCAGAAACTACAGATCCTATATTCACTGATTCAGTTATTTTTTATTTATTTTTATTTGCGTTACACTTTTATTTTGTATTATATTTTGTTTCAGTGATGGCTGATAAAATGAATGAAATCAAAGGCTTCAACATTTTAGTAAGAAGTTATTAATGAAAAGCTTTCAGAATACAAGACCAATGGGCCGGCCCCGTGGCTTAGCGGTTAAGTGCGCACACTCCGCTGCTGGCGGTCCAGGGTCGGATCCCTGGCGTGCACCGACACACGGCTTCTCCGGCCACGATGAGGCCTCGTCCCACATACAGCAACTAGAAGGATGTGCAACTATGACATACAACTATCTACTGGGGCTTTGGGGGAAAAAATAAATAAATAAATAAAAACTTAAAAAAAAAAAGTATTAAAAAAAAAAAAAAAGAATACAAGACCACTGACACAAGTACCATTCAGAGCCAATTTAAAAAGCCTTTTATCAAGCCACTGACTTAGAGATAATAAGAAGATAAATGGTGATCCATGTTGAAAGGGGTGTAGCACCCTCGTGGCAGATTCATATCTACTTTTTGTTCCTTACATAAAAGAAACCATTATAGGTTGCTTGTAAGAAGGTCCCCCCACCAAAACTTCCAAAACTTCCCGTTATATTCTACTTAACCATTAATCTTAGCTGGTACTCCTTCACTAGACTGAAAAGGCTTCAACGTCTTCAAGTTTTATTGTATTAACTAAGGTTATATAGATTTATTCCCCAAATGCGAGACTTTATTCCAATTCCTAACTCTCCTCAAATACTCTCTATGCATCCTACCTAACCCAGTAGTCAACCTCATTTTTCACCTAACTGGATATCTCAGGAGCATTTGACAGAGTTGCTCACTCCTTACTTCAGGAAACTTCACTTGGCTTTGAGACACCATATTCTCCTAGTTTTCCTCTATCTCTTTAGCAGCTCTTTCTCTTCCCCGACTTCAAAATGTTGGCCTGCCCCAACGATGAGATGTTATCCCTCTACTCCACTTCATCTGTACTCTGTTCTTTCCACATTCACTCTCTAGGTGATCTCTTCCAAGAGCCTCAGGATTTTAAGCGCTATCTATAACACTACTGATTTAAATCATTTCCCATCTCTGATTTCTCTAGACTTTATCCCTAGCTGTCTATTTAACATCTCCACTGGAATGTCTAATATGTATCTCAACCTTCACACATTAGAAGTAAATCTCTTGATTTCTCCCTAAGCATGCTGCTCTCTCAGTCTTTTCCATTTCAGTAAATAGCACCATGATTCACCCAGCTGCTCAGGCCAAAAATCTCAGCATCCTCCTCTTTCTTTCTGACCTCAAAATCTAAATCTATGAACTGTCTTGACAGCTCTAACTTCAAAATACATCGTGGACTAGGCCACTTTTCATCATCTCCACCGTTTCTAGGTGAAGCCACTATCTTCTCTTGCCTGGGCTAGTCTCTCTTGCTTCTGTTCTTGCCACAATCCATCCTCTACACAGCAGCTACGTAAGCTTATTAAATGTAAATCAGTTCATGTTATTTTCCTGCCCAAAGTTCTCCACTGACTTCTCATCATATTAAATATTACCAAAACTCCTCATCATGGCTGATAAGGCCCTACCTGATCTGATCTCCTTCATCTTA